AGACCCCCACTGTGCTTCCCTCTGCCCAGCAGTGACCACACCAACTTGTCACTGTTCATTTTGCAATAATTCCACCGGAGTGGGGCCCCCCAGACAGGCATGGGTCGGATGCATCTCTCTATCCCCAGTGCCTGGAACGCAGTGTGACATCAACAGGTGCTTGATGAGCATCTGCAGCCAGAATAAACGAAGGAACAAAGGAAGAATGAAGTCTCCCCCTACCTTTCTCTGCCCCCAGGCTGGATGATCAGGCATCCCAAGCCTGCTGTCGCCCCCCTACCCACCACCCCAGGTCTGCGCTTGTTAGGTTCGATGTGGAGAATGGGCAGGTGGTTTGGGAATGTTCACCCTGTGAAAAATCACCTGGGGGACCTCTTATCTGACCCAAGTGCTTTCTGCGTCTCTCTGGCCCTCCCTTGCCCTCCCCCTAAGTGATCTCTGAACTGGGCACTGCCTGGCCAGGGTTCTGGTATCTTGCACGGAAGACCCAGCCTCTACCACGGCAGGGTGTTCTGCACGGCAGGGCTTGAGGTCAGCATTGAGGAATCTGGGACACTGGCTCCACCAAGCTTCAGTCCTGACTGGACGTTCACCCAGTACTACCACCACAGGTGGAAAAAAAACACCTTTCACAGGCCAGGTTGGAAACTGAATTCCTGCCACAGGCCACAGGCCAGCCTTCTTGCCATCAGTATATTCCCTTCCTTTCTCTTTTGCATCTCTTAACCAGAATGTGCTCTAAACATTTCTTTCTTCATGTCACTCCTCTGCTCAAGAACCATCCATGGATCCCACTTGCCCATCAGAATTCAAGGAACTCCATGACCAAGCTCCAGCCTCCCTCTCTGACTTCACCCATCATCCCTTCAGCAGGCTAGTCTCCCCTATGTTCTAGAAACCTCTTCCTCCTTTTCTCCTGCGGGGCTTTGCCTATACCAGTGCCCTCTGCCTGAGATACCCTTGTCCCTTCATTCTCTTCTTTAAGTCCTGGCTTGCAACCCCCACCTTCTCTGGGTCACCTTCCAACTATTCCAGTTCTTAATAACCCATTTAAAAACAAAAGACTAAGTCCTTGTGTACTCTAGACTCATCTGGCTTATTTATTCAAAATTCAGACCATCCCAGATCTCTCTGGAGGTGGTTCAAGGACACTGGACTTTTAAAGCTTCCCAGGGAAGTCTGATGCTGCAAGCCCAGGCTGGTCCATTGACCTACACTGGGGAAGTGCTGGTGATCCAGTGCTTGGCTAGCAACCCCAAGTCCACACAGGCTGCTGATGCCCACAGCTCATACAGATTCCCGCCATCTCTGCAAGCAGTGACGATAATGATAACCACCATTTACTGAAGGCTCACCAGGCACTAGACACATGCTGAGCACTCGGCATGCACCATCTCACCTAATCTTCACAATGTGCTGTTAGGTAGATATTATTAACCTCATTTTACTGATAAGGAAACTGAGGACCAGAAAGCGTAAGTCTCTTGGCCAAAGTCACAGAACTTGGCAGAGGGAGACCTAGTCTCAAACTCAGGCTGATTACGCCCAAGCCAGCGCTCCTCATCCCTGGGCCAGCAAGCCTTCAGAGTGGGCCCCTGGTTCAGTTCAGTTTGGGTAAATTCCATTCTGTTGCAACAACTCTCCTGCCCCTTGCTTTTGCTAAGTCATGGGGTTAGAAATATAGCTAGGAAGAGGCCCCTGTCCTCGAAGGACCTCCCAGTCCAGGTGGGGAAACTGGCACACACTTAGCTAGTCACATAAGGAGTGCTGAGACCACAGCGGGGCGCCCCATTTGGGAAGGATGCCAAGGAGAGGGTGGGGTGGAGATGGGTTCTGTCCTGGAAGGGGACAGAGGGCCAGTTCAGGCCTCGGGAGTAGGTGGAATTTGAGCCAGTTCTTGAGAGATGATAGAGAAGGGGCGGAGGGCATCAGGCAGAGGCGAGAGCCTACGCACGCACAGACAGCATGGTGTGAAGGGTCAGGTTTCCAGTGGCTGTTGCCCTGGGGAGTGGTGAACAACTCGGCCATTAAGGGCAGGTGGGGCAGGTCACAAAGAGCCTCCAACACCAGGCGGAAGATTCTGCCCTTATGCCTTGGGCAATAGGGAGTCCCGGACGGTGTGGGAGCAGGGCCATGTCTGCCCTCAGCTCTAGCGCAGGGAAAGGCACAGGTAGGTAGGTGCTCAATGGAACCTTGCTGCCTCATGTATTGCTATGTGTCTTTCTCCCATCCTCAGTAGGTTGGAATGACCTGGAGCTACTGGATAATTCCTGCCAGGAATGGAAGGCTTTCATAGCTATACTTCCTCTCTCCATTTAGCCCTTCTCTGGGAGGACGGGCACATTCCGCAACTTCTCTGAGCCCGTTTCCTCATCTGTTAAATGGAGACAACACACCAACCTTGCAGGTTTTGAGACTGAAATGAGATCAGGCGAGCGGAGCTTAGCAGGTATGCCACATGCGTGGCAAAGAGCATAGGATCACGAAGAGCATAGGCTCAGGGTCTTCCGTGTGAATCCTAGCTCTGCCCCAGGGGATGCCAGTCTCTCAGGGCTGGAGGGAGAATTCAGTTCAGAGAGCTAACATACATACAGCACCTGACACTTGCGGATGCTCAGTAGCGTTGTTTGCTGCCTGGTCTGGCCGACACAAGCCATCCTGTTCCTCCTCCTCGCTCCTGGAACACCTCCACTCTCGCTCAACGCGCTGCTCCTTCCTCCCACTCCTGCTCCTGCAGGAGGTACCTTGCAGTAGGAGCCTTAGCTCCCTGCCGCTCGCCGTCAGCTTACTTGCCCCTCACCACCTGGCACACCATAGATGTCTGTGTCCTTTGCAAAGAGCTTTCACATGCATCATCTTACTGGGAATCCGCTCACCTACTGCCACTTTGTAAGCAGGACAGAGTTGATCCGCTTTGTGCAGAGAGGAAAGGACGGACATGTTGACGCTGTTTGAGCACCTGCTAAGTGCCAGGAGCGTAATATTCATTAATTCTCCTCCCAAACATCCTCCCCATTGCACAAATGTGGACACTGAGGCTCGGAGAGTGGCAGTGACTTGTCCAAAGTCACACAGCAAGGAACTGACAGAGGCTGAGTGCAAGCCCAGGTCTTTCTGACTCCAGAGTCCAGGATTTGGAACAAACACGTACAGCATGGGGTTAACAGATCTGTCCCCAGGGCTGCCGTGAGGACAGGTTGGGGTAATAGGCATGAGGGCAACTGAAACAGCGCTTAAGGACTGGGAATAGAAGTGAAATCATGTCCGCCTCCCCCTAATCACATGGCGAACAGGGACAGAAGCCCGGGGAGGCTGCAATGTGCCCAAGGTCAGGGCAAGCCCAAGCTCACTGCCCCCGGGGACCACTGTCTTTCTTAGTTAAGGGCAGGGACTATGCCTCCAGGGCCTTTTCCTCCCCAGAGAGTGGAAACTTCCAAAGTCCCCCTGACCTGACCGGAGGGTGAAAAAAGCAGGAATTTCTGCCATGGTACATGGATCTGGAGCCTGGGGCTGAGGGCTGACATCCCAGGCTTGCCGTGGCCTCAGGCCCGTTCAGCGCCATCCCCAGCCCTGGACCTGCAGGAAGACCTGGCCCTCCTCCCAGCTCATCAGCCAATGAGAGGGGCCATCCCAGAGACCCCTTGCTCTTAGAGGAGACTGAGAGTTGTCAAGGCCAAGGGAACAGAGCACGGTGGTGGGATTTCAGGTGTAACAAACCGGCGAGGCAGATCGTGGAGTTTGGGGAGGTCAGAGCGGAAGGGAATGAGAGCCCCTCTTGCCCCCTTGTTCTTCAAACTTTTAAAAAGCGGCAGACCCTTCCTTTCAAACGAACCCCGCGGCATGATCTCCTCCCCACCCCCATGTCCCCCACAGTCACTAGCAAGCCCCGGGGGGGCCCCTCCCCAAGCAGCAAGCCCTGAGGAAGAACAGCAGCTCGGCAGCCAGGGGCCAGCCCAGCCCTCGCAGCTCGGCCTCGGTGTCCTGTTGACCACGAATAATTCCACGCAACATCAGCATCAGGCAAGGCCACGCTGTGACCACATTGGCAAATCACGACCCCCCAGGAGCCACAGCTGAGTGCAGGCAAACATGAACACCGTGCGAGCCCGCGCGATGCCCACGCCGCCTTCTCCTGGCTGGGCTGTGCTTGCTGCCCCTTTGCCAACGACAGCTTCAGCTTGGGCCCAGCCTTCCCTCCTTCTGGATCACATTGACTAATCACTTCAGCTTGGGCCCGGCTTCCCGACAGTATCCCGCATGGAGCAGAGCCCTGCTTCCCCAGACCCTCCCTCACATCCCCTAACTCTCAGGAAGCCCTTTCTCACGCCCTCTGAGACACAGTTCCCGTGGGGTCCATCCCCCTCACTGCCATGAGTAATAAACCCAACTATTAACTAGGGGTGAGCTCCCGGTGGCCCTCTCCTGCAGGGCATTGGCAGACGGGTTCTGTCAAATACCCCCACCGCCTAACTCTGCCGAAGTCGAAGGCAGGGGGTCATCACCTCCTTTTTGCCCCAGAGGCAACCAGACTTGCCCAAGTTCACAGTGTAGGGTGAATATATCATTTATCATCCAAGTGGGATGACTTTGATAGTGAAAGGGTGCACTAATGGTCAGTGAGCAAGGACAGAGGGCATAAACCAGGACTGTCCAGGGCAGACCAGGCGTACGGGCTCCCCATCATGCTGCAGGATGTGGGGGGAGCCAGGACTGGCAAAGCCTGAATCTTGCCATCTCTCTCTGCTGCCCCGAGCGCTCCCACCGCTGCCCCGTGCCACTCCCTAGGACAGGGTGAGTCTCTCTGCTGGCGGGCTGGCAGCCCGGGGCTCTGGGTTCTCTGGTGAGGTCTGGGGAATGCGCTGCAGTTGTGATTCAGGGGTGCGCCACCCCTGAGCTTCTGTACCACACAGCTGTCCCGCGGGGTCATGCCCCGTGCTTGGCATTCGCTTTCCAGAGAGTGCCCACAGTGCCTGCCAGGCACGATGCCCTATTTAGCCTGCCCAGGGGGGGAACGGGTGGTTTCACATAAAAGAATTTGCAGGTGAAAGTGACCCCTTAAAACACTGAAAACTTTATTTTAGCTGTTTGCCCAGACGGCCCTTCTGATGCAGGTCACCTGCTCCCCTGCCTTAGTAAGCAGGGTGCAGGAACACGGGGCACCTTGCCGTGTCTGCTGTCTCGCGGCCATTAGCGGGACCACGTTACAGCAGAGGGCATGCGCCCAGGGGCACCCCTCACTATAGAGGCTTTCCTACTGGGAGGAAGTAATGACCCAGAATAAAAGAGGACTCACCCAGGCCTGCTCGGAGTCAGGTTGCTTTCTCCCTCGTCCTCATCTGAGGCCCTGTGGATGACCACTGCAGCCTCCATCCAGCCCTGAGCATCATGGGGGCCACCTTCTCCTCCATCACTGGCTCCCAGCTGCAGCTGTCCCAGCTGGGGGGCCAGCAGCGGGCGAGGGTCCTCACGGTAGCCCATGACCTTCATCTGGATGTGGCTGAAGTCAGGCAGACTCTGGTCATGGGAGGCACACTTCCTCCCACAGCCTGACACCCCTGTGTTTCCAGGGGTGTGCACTTCATTTTTTTTTAATTATTCTTTTAAGATTTTACTTGTTTATTTTATTGGTGGGGGGGAGGGCAGAGAGAGTCTTGAGCAGACTCTGTGCTGAGTGTGGAGCCTGATGCGGGGCTTGGTTTCACGACCCTGAGGCCAGGGCCTGAGCCGGAACCAAGCACTGGAGGCTTAACCAACGGTGCCACCCAGGCAGCCCAGGGGCGCGCACTGCTGACTGAGCACAGGGGGCAGCCCTGCCCTCGGCTGAGATCCCCACCCCACACCCAGAGGCCTGGTCTCGATGAAGGCTTCCTCCTCCCAGTGGGCCCGGGTGCAAGTGCTGTGTGCGCAGACCTGGTGGGAGGTCTGCTGCCGCCCCTTTCTCCGAAGCCCCTGCCGTCTATGCTGGGGTGTGCCAGCACTTTGCGCAGATCAGCCTGATGCAAGCATGACACTGTGGAGCTGCAGCGCAGTGCTATCTTCAGGGCCTGCTCAAGCAGCCTGGGCCATCTGTCCCTGCATTCGATGGGCCAGGTGGTTGTGTGGTTGTCACTCGGCCGTCTCTGGACTCTACTGTCCATTTCTAACTGCTCAGTAGATGGTAAGCTCTTGGAGGGCAAGAACCTTATCAGTTCATGTCTCTCTCCCCCTAAAAGTCCCGGCTTAGTGTGCAGCACACAGTAGATGCTCAGTAAACACCACCCGAATCAAACTGAATCAAGCCAGGAGGCTTCATTTCAGCCCCCATCCTCAGCCAATGCAGATGTGTTCTGCAGGGAAGGGGGCCTCTCTGCGGGCTTTCTGCCTGCCTTTGTGACTCCGATGCATGCCCTTCGGAGGTTTGACTGCCTGAGGGTAAAGGGCCTGCGAGTCTAAGAGTTAGGGGTGGGGGCGTCATCTGCAAAAGGCTCTGGTCAGTTTTGTCACCCTTCGATGACCACTGATCTGAGCAAGGAGGTACCGAGGTGAGCAGAGCAGAGGTCTAGCCTTGAGCAGGTGGTCACGCGCCAGCAATCAATGTACAAGGCCCGAAGGTGGCATAGAGGAGCCAGAAGGAACTCGTGGTGACATCAGGCAAAGCTTTCAGAGGAGGGGCATCTGTGCCGGGGTTTGAAGGATGAGCGTGAATTTGCCAGACAGACAAGCAAAGGGCATGCTGCTGGAGGGGACAGCCTGGGACGGGCTTAGGGGAGCGGGAGAGCAGAGGTTGTGGCACGGGGCTGACCAGGGAGAAAGTCGGGAGGGCCACAGAGGTGAGGCATGGAAGGTTTTGGATCTGGGGTGATGGGAGCCACAGGAGGGATGTGGGCAGGATGGACGTGATTAGCTCTGAGTGAAGACGGATCCCACCATCCACCTGGGTGTGGGGCAGGGGAGAGGACATCGGGGGGGGGGG